TGTGACACAACTCTTTCCGTGTTTCCTCCGGGGACTTTTAAAGAGACACGAACAGAGCCCCCTACGCGGGCCAGACCGGAAACCGAAATGTTTTCAAGTTTCCGAAGCGCACACGTACAAAGTGCAAAGGGTTTACTTTCGATTGCTGAAACGGCGACCCGCCCCCTTGCGTCCTCCATCTTGGCTCTAACACAACCCCAGTTTGACCGTTTACCTACCGCGACAGCAACGGAATGTGAGCCAAAATGGCTCCCGGCCCTGCCTCCCCGCCCACCCCGCGGCCGATGGCTCTTAAAGGAAACGCAGTCGCAGAGCTCCCGTTTTCTGTCGGCGTGTGAAACGCCTGCGGGAGGGAGCCTAGTTCCTCCATCCCTTTAACTGGAATCGAGCATGCGGAATTTCCCGTTTGGTCCTCGTGAGGCGTAAAGCCAAATAAAAGAAGGATGCTGCATTTCATTTATCCACTAAAGAACTGGGGATATAAGCACAAAAAAAACAACAGGAGATCAAAGACCATTGCGTCTGCTTCCTGTTAGACGCGTTGGTTTTGCCTTCGGTGGGCTCACGTCTATGTAGTTCGCCAAGTTTTTATTTAAAGGAATGAACAGGATTATTTCACACATCAGACATCAGAGGGAGACGCGCACACCCCTCCACGACCTACTGTCTGCCCGTCAGCTGGGAGGGTTATTGCACGTTGCAGTGGAGAGACGTCTCTTTATAGATGGTCCCTACCTAGGCGCATATCGTCTTGTGCCCCTTTTCTTTAATTACAACAGCAGTAACACACACACACAACGCACGCAAGAGCACATAGAACATCATCTGGGGCCCACGCCAGCGGCCTCTTACAAATGAAGGTTAGATGAAGCGAATTAAAGGTCGGGTACGCACAGCGTCCGCCTTCGTACATTAGAAAGAGTTTGGCGATAAGCCCTTATGAAGATTTTAGCACTAAACGCCCGTCCGTCCCGGGAGGCGGAAATTTGGGGGGGGACCTTTTCACCCCGAAACGTCCTTGCGGGTCCAGACTCGGAGATCCGGACCGGCGGCAGTTCCGGCTGCGGCTGTCGACTCCGAGAAGCGCCTCTGCGGCTGACAGCGGCGCCTCCGTTTGCGGACGGTCCCTGCGCGCCAATCAGGTGCCTTGTAACCGGGGCCGAAACCGAAAGTTGAGCAAGAACCGACACGAAACAGGACAGAAAGAGAGAGAGAAGGGGAGGGTGGAGACGACCTGCATCGCCTGCTAGCTTTCTTTTCTTCCCGTGTGGTCAGAATAGTTCTGCCGGGCAGAAAGTATCATTAACAGGACGCGCAGGTTTGCACCAGGGGCAGCCCGGGCCGTGGAAAGCGCAGTTCCGCCGTTTCTCGGGAGCAGGTCACTGAACGCGCCGCCAGCATGTCCAAGACCGCCGTACTCAAGGCCGGCAAAGCCAACCTGCTGAAGGTAGGGCTCGCTGAGACACGCAGGGCCGGTGGGCGCGCCGTGACGTG